TATATATATAATATACATATATATATAATTGTGCATTTTTTCAGGTAAAATTATCAGGCGTTATCTTCTTTAACTTTGGCCCACCTGAGGAACCAACTGAAAACAAATAAACATTTAAAATATAAAATTAGATAAAAAAATAGATACGAAAGCAATCTAGGCATATTGCTAAGAATATTATGTACTTTATTGTGCGAATGTAACACACAATACTGTACTGTCTTCAATAAATAGTTCGTATTTATGAATATGTTCAAAACGGTCTATTTATTTCATGAAAATGTCTTTCCAAAAAATGATACAATTTTATAAAAAGTGGAAGGCATATATTAAAATAAATGACTTTTTATTATGTTGAATGTTACACGATTTTTTGTGATAACAATTGTAACATTATATAATGAATATACATGTATGTGTACATATATAAGATATAAAATAAGGTAATGAACTTCGACTGTTCTCCGTGCTAAAATATGAAAAAAGTTCGTATAACGTGTGTACATACATATGCTCGCGCGCGCGTATGCACGCACACACAAAAGAAATCAAAGCGATTAGAGAGAGAGGTTACTCTTATTTTCATTTGTATATAAAAATTCATTTTTACGTAAAAATGAAAATAAGAGGAACAATGTCCAATGACCTTGATCTTGACAAATATTATTCAAAGTATGATCCTGAACAACATTCAAGAAGTTTTAGCCGTCAGTCGGATACCTTAGGTAATACTAATGATGGCGCGGTATTATAACTTTTAAGCTGTTTGCTTGAAAAATACTTGATAAAATTGATCTTTATTGTAGTGTTTTGAAAAGTTCTTGGCAGCAGCTATAAAGTTTATTCTACAATTTGCTTTCTGTTTCCTATTTCTTGCTTTTTGCTATTTTTTACGTCTTAGACCTGGGAAAAAATGTTTCATGTATATGTATATATAGGTGTACAAGTTTGCTTATATAAACATAGACGTATTTTATATATCATTATATATGATTATATATATAAATGTATATAATCCACATATATAACATTTTTTCCTAGGAAGGTTATAAAGCTCCAAAATATCTCTTCTTTGTAGAAATAATAATAAAATATATCCTACTGTACAGTCAATTGTTGTAACAACAGTTACAAAAAAGTTTTGTTCTTGCACAGATTTCCCAAAAATCCTATATTAAAAGAAAACTGGCGCATTGCTGCTGGAAACCTATCATAGAACAAAGTCGGGATGGATTCCGATCAAAATTGTTCAATTATTCCTGAGATTTCTATTGTGTTTTTTTTAAGGAAAAACAGAACAATTCAGTAATAACTCACTCTCACCATCGTGAATAATTTCTAATGGAGATTTTAAACTTTTTTTTATTGAAATTTTATGTTTAAATGATTTGCGTTGCTATATGTGTAAATGCAAGATAGCGGATTTTAATTCCAGCCCTTGTTACGTCCACCATGGTTGTTCGCAACTTTTACAAGCGACATTGACATTAAAATGCGATGGCAAATGCGCGCCTTGCTGGGCGGTCTTATTTCGCCGCGTGCTTGCATTTGACATTTGACTATTTTCATAAATTAATAACTCGTTAATCATTGCGAAAATTGCAAAATGATAGAGGACTTTTCTTCTCGGTTTAATTCATTCTGTCCCTATGCGATAATTTTATCATTAATTGTCAAAAACACACACACACACACATATATATATGTATAAGTAGCTATATTACATTCTCTCTCTATATATATATAAATTTATAATTATTTTCGGGATGCATCAGATATCCGAGAAATATTCAGTATCCGGTTGAAATTTTATATTAATTGTTTGCGTCAAGAATGCAAAATTTTCTTTTTAGCTAAATTTCTTGCACAATTTATCTCTCTTTCCTCTTTCTCTTTATATTAGAATAAAGAAAATTTTTATCGCTATTTTTCCCTTGCTGCCCTTTTTTGGAAGCCATTTTCCAGATATCAGGCAGAATATCCTAAGAAATGTCCAGTATCCAGTCCGAAAAATTAACTGAATTGACTGAAAGTCTGATATCTGAAAATAATGTGACACCAGATAGTCAGTAACCAGTGATTTTAAGATCTGATGCATCCCTAATTATTAGATATATCAATATATATTAGAATTTATAATATAGTAATAATAGTTGAATAATAGTAGAATAATAGTGAAGAGAAAATTACATTTTGATTTAATGAGATCGCGCTATTTCCGAGAAAAATTCTAAAATATCCTGTATAGTAAACTCGAGTGTTACATTGCTGTCTGGATAACAGCGTTGTATTAGTTCTTCAATGTTCCTATACTGCGCAATAAATTCATTTTGCATCTCGCGCCAAACAACCTGGAAATTAAGAATTTAGAAGTAGATTATAAAGACGAGGAAATAATTTTCATGCTTGTAAGGATTGTTTCATGTTTATAAGGATTTACAATTACCATTAAATCATTGAAAATGTATTACTCATCTTTCACATATTCTACATACTTGTAACAAATTTTCCTCTTCGCATAGATGCTTCTCAACTTTTCGATACAAATTCTCCAAACCTTTCTTAACTTCTCTCGCTGGATATTCCTTCACTACGCGTCGCAACTCTTGTTTGCTAAAGGCCATCTGATAACTGACTTCAGATTCTTTCACACCGGCGCCTACTTTGGCTTGTACACCTTCAAAGAAAAGCTGAAAAATAAATATTCTTAAATAAACAATATTAAATATTAAATCTCATAGAATCTATTCCTAAATAATATTTTTACAATCATAAAAGTATTTTTATTATAAATGGCAATTTACATTAAGTTTCTCAAGAGGTCGTCCAAAATACTGCGTAACATAAGCACGAAGCGCATCTTGATACTTTTGCTTGGCTTCCTTCCGCTCGTGATCCAAAATCGAAATTTTTAGTTGTGAGAGGAGATCATAGAGATGATGAAAATTTTCTAAAAGTATGACAAATTATATATAATAATTATTAATAATTGATTAGTAATTTTATTACACTTTTTAATTACCCATTTTTATGACTTCCTGAGGCGTCTTGTGATGTTCTCGACTGTGAATAACAATAGCTTCGAACATAGTGCTCACAAGCTTCGTGTACCATTTCTCTAGATCAACCTTTCTATCAGAATTGCGGAAAATCTTCTCCGCGGTTCTCGCAAATGGTCCAAAATTCTCTATGTATGGTAATATACCACACTTGTGTCGACGATTAACTTTTGTATCGCACAGTATAGACTGCAATTGCGCTTGCATGAATTTGTCAAATGCTCGTTTTATGTGAATCAGAGTGGATGCAAATGTCATCGATAAAAATGAACCGGTATCTTGAGCAGACATAACGTGCTGAGATAAACGCACTAATACGTACATACACCAACTGTAAAAAATATATATGCGTACAAACAAACACATACAAACATATATATATATGTATATATATATATATAAGCAAGAGTATATTAAAAAGATTATAATAATTAAAATTCGTTTATTTTAAAAACTCTGAGTAATTTTAAATGCAGAAGTTCAAAGTTGTCACAAAAAAAGAATTTTAATTTCCCGATTTTTCAATATTTCCTAGATAATATAGTGGAGAATTTTCCATAACCAATATCAAATATGTAATCTTAAATGAAGAAAATAAACCGAGAAATGTTTAACACAAATGAGTGAATTTGGATACCATCATGTCAGTGCCTATTATTTTTGTGTAAATTTTTGCAATTTCTAATTCAAGCAAACTATTCATCAATTATTTGAATTTTATAACAGTCAGACTAAAGTAGAGGTAACATTACAAATTAAATTGACAAGCAATTTAACCAATAAATTGAAATTCTGGGTTCTTTTATATTTTTCTTGACTTTTCCAGGCCTGTAATAACTCTGGAAGTCATTGTTTTCAAAATCCAACTCACAAGCTATCGATTTTGTCCAGGAAACCGATAAAGTTATTCAACTCTGTTTCTAATGATGGGAATATCGCGGCCATAGTTGCACGAACATCTTCGTTCACCTGACGCTCCAGTCGTTTGCTTGTCGACGAAGTTACCGATCCGGGACTTGCTGCACCGTTGTTAGCATTCTCTATTTCCTCCATCTCGCTACTCTGCACAAAGCAACAGACATTCATAGTCATAAGAAATGGTAAAAATTTACCAATATACTTACTTTGGAGGGTGAGAGAACAGAATCCAATTGAAGAAATGAGACACAGAAGCCTTGTTCGGCTAGACATACTGGCTGCATCTGCGAAAGTACGCAATTGAGAACTGAATCTAAAAGATTTCCTTCGTCCATCGGAGTCCATATTTCACCACTCAGCAAACAGATAGGCGCCGGATTAAGCAAATCTTCACCCTTTTGACCACCAGACCTCGATGTATTTACTTAAAACGTACCTCCTTATTAATATATATAATTTACGAGAATGATATATGCAGAAGAGTGCTAAAATATGCAATTGTAATCTAACTATTAAGGCTTTTAAATGCACATCGTTTCATTTGTCATTTATTTATTAATTGAAAATCTATTGCAGAAAATTTATTACTCTACCTTGCAGACGTTTGCTAATGAGCTTATTTTTAGCTTCCTCGAAAAAGCGCTTCAGATCTCTCTTGTACAATTTGCTCATAGTATCAGTATAGACCTTAGTTAACTGTACAAAGGCTTTATTGTCTAATGCTTTTAACAACTGCATCAATTCAGTATATGGTACGAGCTCGTGATGAACTCCTTGATGAGTTGGTAATATTAAATCCGTCATGGAAGTAGACGTATCTCCAATATCGTTACCCTAAAATTTGATTAAAAATTGAAAAATAAATTTTGTTATAATTATATATATATATATATTCTTTTCTAACTTATATAACATATATATATATTTTTGTTATATATTATTTAAAAGAGATGGAATATTAAAAACAATCATAAAATTACCAAGTGTATAAAAAGATTATTTAAATGTCTAGCAACAATAACTGAGAATTTTGCTTTAAGTTTGTCCAATCGCCTTTTTTGTTCAGTAACAGCACTTAGTTTGTCCAATCCTGGTGGAAGAGGTGCTGTTATAGCTTTTAAAAGGGCTGTACCAGCAAGGCCAAGCTCTTCTCTTTTGCCTGGAAGCTCTGCGTCATTTAAGGTACGTTGGTGTGTTGCAGAAATATCTAATTGCGACTTGGGGGGGGGAAAAAGAAAATTATATAGTTTCATATTTTTAAACAAACCAAAATAGAATTTGATAGGAAATTCTGATTAAAAAATTGTGCCATATCTTCATGTTTCTTTGTCAAATTATTGTAAAGATTATATTTTACATATCATATTAAATTTATCATTTAAATCTTAAGTTATTTGTTGTATAATGCAATAAAACCTATTACTTATTTTTAATATAAAAATAAGGCTATCTAGCATTGTTAAAATAAGAAAATAATATTTAGAAAATATTAAAAACTAAACAACATTAAAATTTCATTTTGAAGACCGTGATATAAACAACACTTCATTAAAAAATAAAGTTTACTTAATGTAAATTTAGTGCATTGCAATTTTGTTAAGTCCTTAGACAAAGACATAATAATTTAATAAGAAAACAATCTATAAACATATGTTTATCTTAATATTTTATCGTTTTGTAATTGTAATAAGAAAATTAATTTCATAACTTTTAATTATATTATGTTCTTTTTTTACTTACAATCACTAGATTTAGCTTATCCAGCAAAAGCCTCGCATTATTATTCGCTGTATGTATAGCTTGATTTTTTTGACCAACTCGAGCCATAACTTCTCTTATTCTTCCTAAAGCTTCATCATATGCTGCTAGTCGCGCTTCTACGATAGAAGCTTCAATTATTGCTGCATCTATACTGTTCATCAGTTGTGTTACTCTCTGCTCTGATGCTAAGACTGAATGTACATTTTCCTAAAGAAGAATAAAATAATCAGTTTAAAATTAACATGAAACTTATAAGCTTACAAATATTACATTTAAATCTAATTAAAAAGTGACAATAAGAGACCAAGGTAGTGACAAGACAGAATCTTTTCTCTCTACATGATGTGATAATTAAAGATGTAGGTACACACCATATCCAATAATAATATAAATGTCAATTGCATCAAGGTGTGAACTCTGATAACAAATTGAGTCATATTTGGAATCTATTAACAATAAAAGACAAACTAAACAAAACCAGATATTACCAAAGAGAATTCAAATTTGAACACTTATCTTACAGATTTACAATATTGACCTTTAACTATACATTACACTTAACATAATTCTCGCTATCAAACGAAGAATTTATCATCGGACTTCACATCTTGATGCAATTGATGTTTATATTATCATTGGATATGGTGTATACCTACATCCTTAATTATCACATCATACGCAAAATAAAGATTCTGTCTGACCACTATCTTGGTCTCTCATTGGCTGTGTTCCAAAATTGACTGCCAGTACTGAAAACCTATAGTGCTCGTGACATAAACTATAGATTTTCAGTACTGGCAATCAATTTTGGAACACAGCCATTGTTACTTTTTATTTAAATTTAAATGTAATATTTGTAAGCTAATTTTCATATTAATTTTAAATTGATGAAAACACTGTGAATCAAAATGTCTTTATATTATATTATATTATGTTAGCTATTTATTAAATAGTTAAAAAGCATCTGAATATTCTAATATCTTGCTTGCTCATATATTGATCGTTTTAATTTTGATATTTTACTTTGAAAAATGAGCATTATCTGATATTATACTACTTATATTTATGTAATATTAGATTAGGAAAAGTCCTTTTACATATATGTAAAAATCACCAAACTCACAGAAACTAAAAAAATACAGTAATCTTTCAAAAGTAAAGATTTTAAACTTTAAAACCATTTTTTAAATTAGAATTTTGTTCATTTTTAATGAAAATATTGTAACATAATCCTTTCATATATGTATATGACTTTTTCCTCAACCCAATACTTTTTCTATAAGAGAAGTATTTATTTTACCCCATCAAGAATAGATAGATCTTTTGAAAGAGTTTCCATAAAAAGCTCAGCATTGGAAACAGCATATTCACAATTTTCCATCATTTGTTTTAAATCAGCAGCTTCCTTTTCAGTAATGGGTTGGTAATCTGAACTAATAGGTGATGCTAAAAGATCTAAAAATTGTTATTATTTAACATAATTACCTATTAATTAAGTAGAACGACCAATCATTAAACAATTTTTTGTAAATATAATTACATAAAAAAAAGACATTAACAATTGCAAACTTATTAAATTGAGTAATAAAGACATACCAGGTGTAAATGTGATACTGTCACTTTCCTTCAATGCAGTTGGATCAATCAACCATTCTTTGGGAATATTTTTAAATTCTGGCCTCTGAGTTAAGCTACAGGAATAAGTATATAAATTACTAATAAATGTTCGCCTTTCTTGTGCATTAGTAGATGACCATTTGTAAACTTTATCAATATGCATCTCTATGTCCATTGAATCATTTTTCACACCATCTATGATTTGTATATCGCCCAGAGGCCATGACTGTTTCTTTTTATAAACATTTTTATCATTCTTTTTTACTTGATACAATATAAGAGATCCTGGAGTGTCTGTCGTCGTAGCAAGAGACAGAAAACTTGTCTTTTTCTTTTTGTAAGCTTTGCTAACATAGCATACACTGAGTAATTTTTCATCGGTAAGAGTAAATACCTCCCTTTGCAAAGTATGTCGAATAGCTGCCATAGCTAGAACTTCATTAATCTATATAGTTTATTATATTCTTTATTAATGTTCTTCTTTATTATTACTTAAATATTGTTTACTTATATCCTCCATTTCGGAATAGCTCTAATTATTTACAATAGTAGAAATAATATTGATTATTTATAAACAATATTAAATGTTACAGATTATATTCCAACACTGTCACAGATTAATTTGGTATTTACATATTTAAAACATTCATGTCTGATTTTGATAAAATTAAGCTCATTCGACGCGTTTTTGCACGAAACGGAATAATCTAGTAGAAAAAAGTATCGTTCTGCCCCGCAAACTGAGAGTTTTCTGGAGCAAATTGTCAGACTCCTATTCAGGTTAGAAAATCTGTCACAGCTACGAAACCATAATCGTAGATCGTAGGGTGCGGTATAATGCTTCGGGGAACTTTGACTGACCAATCAGAAGAAAGAATTTTAGTAACTGACCAATCAAAAAATGCTTCAAAACATTCGTAGTATCAAATGGACCGTAGCGTCTGTTTTTTATGTCTGACCAGTGTAGTATAATTTGAATTTTAATAAAGTGAAATAGGTATATATTTGATATTTACCAAAGAGAATTGGATACGTAGATATATAATTTCAAAATTAATATCGGGTTATGGATTATCCAGCTATATTTCCGATTGATACAAATTTCGAATATATAATACGAAAATCAGAACCGCAAAAAATATGCTTCGGTTCCGGACAGTCACGCGATACTTCTCGAAACAATCTGAATTTCTTCATGAGATATTATACCGCAGAAAATTATTCCAACGTAGGACCCGGCTCTTATAACGTTTTGAAATCTTTTAACGCCATTAAAACCAAGGTACAAACTTTTATATTAGAGACTAATATTATTTTAATATTAATTGTAAGTATATAAAATTATGTTCATCTGTTGATCTCTTCTATATAGCCGTGCTGTTATAGTATCAGCAAAAGAGGTTACAGCGGTCTCGCTCGATTTGCCAAGCCTATCACTTACAATACTTATATGAAAGATTATATATCATCATCCGATTATGCTGTTCCTAAGCAGATTAAAACGCAGAAATATCCATTTCTGTCTACCAATAAGAAAAGAATTTTTGATACCAATAAAAATCCAGGGTAGTTAAAATTAATTAGTTAAAAGAATAGTATTTTGTATATTTAGGGTGGCGTTCCACTTAACGTTCGCAACGATCGCGTCTATCATCTCATCCTTATTTAATATTCGATTACAAGAAGGACAAAAATGATACTCGCGAGCGTTGCGAACGTTAAGTGGAACGCACCCTAGATGTAGCAAAATATTATTTCACGAAGTAAAGATAGTGTCACATAATTTTCAGGCCCGGAACTTATAATGGTAGTAAAGAGATAAAAGGTATTATATTTGAACACAGTTTCGGTAGTAGAGTTAAAATGCAACTTGGTGTTGATTTTAAATGTTGCAATCGTAATACAAATATTTGCAAGATATGTGGTAAAACACCAACCGGAGATTACTGGCATTTAAATAATAAAATATTCTTATGTAGAACCTGCATGATAAGAGAATGTCAAGAACAAACGAAATTTAAAAGGAAGAAACTTGAATTATTTCGTGTAAGCTTTTATATAGCTTTATTAGATTAAATCTTTCTATTCACTATCTTCCCTTTGACTCTTTTTGTGTACATGTATGTGTAATAGCGTTTTCTCTTTGGATCATGATGTAAAACCGATTCTATGTATTATATAGGCCTTCTACAATAAGCTATTACCTATAAGTTTTAAGTATTAAATCATAAGAAATTGATCACTCATAGTCGATTATTCTTCTCACATTCGATTGTGATTGGTATAAATTTCTTATGATTAAACACTTAAAACTTAAGTAATGGCTTATTGTAGAAGGCCTATAACGCTTGCGACGCTGCAATGCGACTAAAACCCATTCTACAATCACGTAAACGTAGTTGTAAGTGGCTGTAATTGTAAGAATTGACTAATCGCACAGTTGAACATTTTTTCGTATTTGATTGTGATTGGTTAACTCGTACAACTACAATTATTTACAACTAAGCTTACACAATTGTAGAGTGACTTAATTTAAGGCAGCGCTACACTGAGTTTATGCTTTGAGTCTTTTAATCCTAAAATTTTTTAATTCAGCTAATAAAGTTACAATTCTAACCAAAATTTGTATTCCATTGGCTGAATTTTAGCATTTTAGAATTAAAATCGAGGAATGTGTAATCATAATCAACTTGCCGTTTTTTTTTTTTTTTTCGTAAAAACTACATATGTTATTTGTTTGGTTACACATTTCTGGATCCAAGAACTCGATCCGAATTCTCGATCGAGAAATGTGTAGCAGCTGATCAAATTGCCGTTTTTTTAAATGTAGTTTTTTTTAGTAAAAACTACATGATATGTATACACTATATATGTGTCAAATATCCGCTACACACACAAATTTGTTAACTTTTAGTATACTTAATATAGAGAATATATAATAATAAAAAATAAACAGAAGTATAATAAAAAGGATCATCATCGAGAAGTAAACATTTCAACGAAAATTTTGAGCCTTTTTAAAAAATTTTATTTCAAAAATTGAAATGGGTAGAGGGCGGGTGGCCGATTTTATAAGAAATGAGAATGTCCTCTGTTCCACACGCACATACGCATATACATACATACAGTGTCAAGTGGGATAAATTTTGGTCATTGTTTTTTTTTCTAGAAAGTGCCAAAAAGATACGAAGGCTATCTTTAGCTATTTCCGCTTTTTTTAAATAGAATTGTATAATTCTTTTTTTTTACACAATATAATTCCTCTAATTATTCAACATATAAAATATTAAAGTAAAAATATAAAAAAACTGATAGTTTATGAGTTATATTTAATATTTTATATATCAATATGTGTGCTAGAATAAAGTACCATATAAAATATCTCATAAACATTATTAGTTTTTTGATATTTTTATTTTAATATTTTGACATGAAAAAATATTTAGAAGAATCATAGTGTGAAAAAAAGTCATACAATTCCATTTTTTAAAAGTGGACTTGATCCTTATATCTTTTTAGCGTCTACCTAGAAGAAAAACAGTATGACCACAATATGTTTCCCTTGAAACCATTCCACTTTCATCTGAAACATTTTTCCTTATTATAAGAAGCAAGCAAGAAATTTTGGATGCTCGAGTTAGCTGGGACATCCAGTATACATAAATGTAATATGTAAATAAATAGCTAAACAGACAGAAATGATTAATAAGATATGTCTGTGATTGAGCATCAAATTATTAAATTGCTTGTCAATTTAATTCGTGATATTATTACAGTTTAATCGAATTGCGTTTCAAGACCAAAAATAATTTCGGCGCGCGGTTTAAAAAAAACTACATATACATATAGTATATATTCACACAGAATCATATTTCAACATTAAAGTTCTAGTTTGACCGTTTAGACTACTTATTTTCTAATTACTGTGTAGTCACATAACGGTTCTACAGAAAACTTTATATTGATTAATTAATTTTAACGACATGGATTTCTTTTATTTTATGGACTCAGAGGTGAGTTTTTTACCAGAGAGACGCTCTGTCTTGTTATTTACATATATTACTTAAAACGTAGTTTTATATTCTTACTAAAACTATGAGAAAATTTCACAAACGGTTATCCAATCGCTCGACGAGCTCTGTTGCTTCTCGGAAAAATCTCATCTTATTTCTTGACACAACCGTCTATGTCTTGATTTTTTTTTATTTTAATTGTAGTTTTGACAGATTTGTTGCGTTAAAAAATTTTATACATCTGAAAAAGGCTTAAACGTAAAGCTGAAACTTGTATACGATATCGTAATTAATTTTTCTTATAAATTTTTATGTTTATAGTTTTTTAAACTTTATAATTTTTTTTGCATCTAATATATTTATTTATGTCTTAATATAAACATTTTCTTGATTTGCAGACGATTCTAATTAGCCTTTTTATACCTCTCTATGTATGTTGAATATATCCTGTAATCTTTCTTAATTGATTAATTAATTTAATTATATATTTGCAGAAAATAAGAACTTGCTCAAGTATTCACATTCATGAAGGCACTGATGCAAAGATATGGCTAATACATCCTATTGCATTGAAACAATGGACACGTAGAGAAACGTATCTTTCTGCTTATTTAAAAGATTAAATCAGATATACTATATAATTTGTTCGATTTCAAATTATATGATCTTTTAATCAATACCATTCTCCTGCCATTCTCCTTAATTTTGCATGAAAAAATTTTTATACAGATTGAATTTTTATTTTAGTCTTTATTATTTTATACATTGCATTATTTGTAAATTATATAATTAAATATTATATACACAAAGATTATATAAAAATACGCGTACATTATACATGTATATTAAATATTTCAAATAATATATAATAGTTTAAATATTCAGAATAAAATTCTCAACACACACATTAATATATTTATCTTATATTATTATTACATATACACGGTCATCAGTCAGTAACAGTTCTGAGTCAGTTCGAAATAAAGTATTTTCCTCAATGAAAAAAAGCATGTACATATAATAAATAAAAAATTTATATTAAATAGAAGCATTAATTCGTTTAAGTATATTTTTAGTTTCAGGGGATGAGATTAGAACATTGGTGAAGCTTAGATGTGAGAATTTGGAGGCAAATAAATATTGGAAAGAGGGGACGGATAGCGCGATTGAGTGTGTTCTGCGAGAATGGAAAAAATGACTTAGAACACTATGTGAAATATTGTGTAAAAGTAAGCGTTTGGTTTCAAAAGTTAGGGAAGAATGCAGAGGAGCTTATAAGGAAACTTAAGAATGAGAATCTAGGTAAAGCGAAAGGAGAAATTCTATGAAAGTTGTGGAAAGAAAAGGAAAATAGTCATAAGAGAAAAGAGGGAAGGATCAAAGATAATTGTAAAGAACGCGAAAGAGTTAGTAATAGAATAGGATAAGGATAGGAAAGAGTAGTTTGTTTTAAAAAAAGGCTACTGGTTTATTTTTAGCGGAAATGAGACTATGAAAATAGCACAAAATGTTCAAAGATATATAATAGGATAAAAAGAGATTAATTATTACTTGTTTTGTTATATCATGTTACTAGTCATAGGTTAAGTTTAGGATAATAGAAAAGATTGTATGTGTGTATGGATCATGAATGGATTCAAATTTATTGTAAACCAAGTCCCTTTCTCGACTATTTTTGTAAAACTGAAGTGAATAAAATTCTACGTTTTCGTCTTAAATAGTTAAAATGTTCAGATTAGTTACGAGATTTTCAAACAAAAAGATATTATCAATTTTTGTCAATAAAAAATTGATGAAATTATTTGACATTAATACTTATTCATTTCTGAACTTAGTTTGATGTAATTATAAAAAATGTATGCTATATTATGAAAACGTACTTATATATTTTTTCTATTCTAATTTAATTTATATTACAAATTTCAGAGTATTTAATTGTTTGCTGATACATCTTGGATACAATTTTGCTGCTTTGCTACTACCAATGTTTTAACTTCTTCTATAGGATTTCCACCCTCAGGAGCTTGCCTTGATACTCCAGTAACAGATAATTCAGATACGATGGAATAATTTTTTATTTCAATCTGGGCTGGTTGTGTAGATAACTTGTCAAATGACATTATAACAGTCGATTCTGTATTATTTTCTGATGTTAAATCATTTTCGCTAGATTCATAAATGACGGTCATATCAATATTACTATCGATATTTTCTGACATATCCGAAGGTGTCAAACCAAAACATTCTTTTTCATTACATTCTAAAACAGTTATTTTATCTTTCGATTCCGTATCATCTTGAAATACATTGTTTTCTTTTAAAAGATCAGTATCACTGTTGTGCACTGCTATGTCGAAATTTTTTATGTATCGATTATCTAGTTGTTCCACAGCTTCCCCTTCCGGTGATACAATAGCTGCAATTTGCAAATCTGGCATCAAATGTTGATATAGAAGCGGATTAAATATACTATCCGAGTTCATATGACGTACGTTGGAAGTTATCAAATAAGTCGTTAATTCATCACAAATTCCACCGTCGTTATTTTCTTCCGCGACTAATTCCTCACGTATTACCGTCGATATTCTGTTACGAGGCATTTCGACAGAAATGTTTTCCCCAATCGTTTTTTTAGAAGTAATAAAATTTGCCGTGCTCAAGCTAGCACGTTCATTGTCAGTTTGAGTGAGCACTGTACAGGTATTAATGTCATAATTGTTTTTGTCTTTATCTTGCGAGTTATTTCTATGTTCCCGTAAACTCGCGAATAACTCTAGAATGTTTTTTCTTATAGGTACGGTCGTTTCTGAAGATGACGTAGGAGGCAAATCTAAAGAAAGTTTGTCAAGCAAGTGATTTATATGTGTTTTGGTACCTCGCACAGGATACTCTGTACTGCTGTCCGATAAATAATTGTACGTTGAGCTATATCTATTTTGATACTGATTGTGATAATAGCCAGGATGTTGGCTGAAATGTATATTCGAACTTGAACAATGCCCGAGATTAGTCGCTTCAGAACTCATAGCTCTACTTTTATTAGATGCCGATTCAAAATGTAAATTACAATCGCCGCTTATAGTGGAAGAAGTTTGCTTTTCATCATTTACAATGTTGCCATCGCTTTGTATTTCACATTGTTTTGACATTTGTGATATTCCATTATTAAAATGTTTAGAAACTGTAGGTAGTGGATAATGTGTAATCTGAACGTTTCTACCGTTAATATTTTCACTGTCGATGTTTGGCTCAATTATATCAAAATCATTATCAAATTCATCTTCAAAAGCTGTGTTTGTGACATCATGTAGACGTGATTGCAAACGTTTTGTGATTTCATCTAGTTCAGTTAATTTTTGTCTGTAACATACATTAATTAAAGTTAAATCTGTATGAAAAATAGTAAAATAATCAATAAAATAATACAAACAAAATGTCAATATGAAAGATGCCACAGTTGTCGACGTAAATAATATATTCACAAAGCGATTATTCGCAAATAATAAAACATACTTATCAGGAGATGTTAACAAAGTTAACTACAAATGTTTTAACTTTTTGAATTTGAATCTTCTTCAGTTATGAAAGTCAAGTGCAAATTGAGTTTGTGGAACTTCTGGCAACCACGGGGGTTTATATTAATTTTTATTTTTATATTGACTAATTTATTTTTATCAAAAAACAATATTTTTGTGTTAATAACACTAGCTGATAATAAAAAAATTAAACTGGATCAGATTAGGTGTTTTTTACAGACTTTTTGAATACTGAAAACTATGCCGTATATCCTAAAAATTTTAACACGTTAGATTTTCGAGATAATTGAAATTTAACCATTTCAAAAATGGTTTTTTTAGGACTTTATTTGATATTTGTTTTGCAAAGAAAGTTAACATTATTTTGAAGTTATATACAATTTCTAATTTGTGACTATCGATACACATAGACCACAATTTATCTGAAACAATTTTTTAAATATGTTTTTTGGATATTTGAGTTGGATAATTAAAATATGTGCGTTACCTTTAGAACACCAAGGCCCCTATTTTGTAACTCTTAACGCAAGTTTCGTTATCATTATAACGCCACTGCGCAGCTTTTTACCATAATAAAAGAGCTGCGCAGTGGTGTTATAACGATAACGAAACTTGCGTTAAGAGTTACAAAATAGGGGCCCTGGTCTAATTTAAAGTAATTTTTAAAAAACACATTTTTTGTAAACTAGTGTAATTATAATAATTCTGGCATCACTTACTTCAAAGACGATGATAAGAAAGATATAGGAACATCTTCTAGATTATGACCAATATGCGTATTTAATTTATAATCATTTTGTATATATTTATTATTATTTTGATTTTCATATGATATTTGATGTGCACCATTTAATTCTGTATTAGTGCAAGGTGCATCATACAGAGATGGCCAGTTTGCTTGCAGTGAATTACTGCAACTTGATAAATTAGTAGAGTTAGTTGGTGCAAATTTTCCCAATGATGATAAATTATCCAGAGGTGCTATACTTATCTAAAATAAAAATAATTATATATATATATATATGTATAGTTGATGCAGGAGAAAAAATGTACGAAATTTCTTAAATTAATATCTCTAGATAAAAACTACCACGAGAATTTACTTTAATTTGCCCGTTGCATTTTCCAGTAAAGTCCATGATATGAAACCATCCAGATACTGTAGGAAATCCAGCCATCAGAATCGAGAGATCAATAGCGGAAAAACCGATCACAATATCTCTTTTTAAATTTATGTTTTTAGATGTATTTGGATCAATTAAATGCCACACTTTGAGAATTAATCTTTTTTGATTCTGAAAAAATATCACAGAAAAATAAAATATAAATTAAGACTATATGATAAGTTATATCATATAAATTGAATCAGACTAGAAGATATTTAAAACATAAATATGAAATTACATACGTTTAAAAGTAAATCTGTTGATAGCTTTGCATCGCATTTCCAATTCCATTTCGGATTGCAACTATATGGACAGACATTTGTAGCCGTATATGAATTTAATTGAATAGTAGAATCGAGTTTATTAGTTAAATCTTGAAAGGTTACATATGTACTTGGTTCCATAAATCCGTTCAGTCCTTCAATCTTTGGCAAATGTAGCGCACATTCGATTTCAATTATAGATCGAAAAAAAGAACTGTTACAATTAATATTTGATTCTATTTTTTGCACATTTTCTTCCGTTAAAGATGAGTTAGAAAGATTATTAGCATTATTTTGCTGTTGATCTAAATCTTCGTATTCAGCACCAACACCGACACTTCTGTACACTTCCATAGGTAATCGAAAATCATTTTTCGGATTGCAACTATCGCTATCATCAGTAAGGCTATTACTATTTAATCTATTCAAATATAATTCTGTATGATCTCCATTTACTTGATTTATCTCTGTTTGAGCCGATTGATTTGTACTAATTTTATTAATATGTAATACATTTGTCAAACGATCAACTAGGGCGCGTAAAGCCAATTGTTCCGAAGATACATCTTCTTGTATTGGTTTCTGTGGTTTCATATTTTTTGAACTTGAAATATCTGTCTGACTTCCTTGAGTCTTATAATCAACTGATGCCAAATCTCTATCAAGCATAACGTTGTAAGCAAAATTATTACTGCAAGTAGATTGCTCTGAATTGAGAT